GACCCTCGAATTATGCTGCGGAATCAACCCTCACAGACCCTTAATCTAGAAATTAGGGTCCTAATAGTTTAGTTAAGACCCCTTAATACTAATTTCACTTAAATATTTCCTTTCAAGAAAATTATTTCACTTAAATTCTTCAAATATTTCTACAATGCTCTTGTATAAATATTTAAAGGAATTAAAAACTTTATTCGCGTAATTATGAAAGACATTTATCTAATAACAATTTTGTATAAAACTATTACTTTTAAGTGTATTTTTTATTTTATTATTATTTTAACTTAATGTTAGAAAGAGTAATGTTAACTCATTTGAAACTATATAATTTTGAATGGCTAGTTTATTGGAAAGTTGCAACGTTCTAATAATTTCTGAGTAATAAAATTTTTAAAAAGTCACTTTATGCTTTGAAATTTAAAGGAAATTTGGCAAATTCAGTTATAGAATTGGATTCTGCTATTTAAATTTACTTAGTCCAAAATGATGCAAAAATATTGAATTTTTATTGGAGCGCTCTGGTAAAGATTTCGGTAAAATTAACAATAAAATATAGTTTTATAATATGTAGTAAAATTTGGAAAATGTGATAAAATTTGGCAATTTTAACAAGAAATTTTAGAGCATGCCATAAAATCCATACATTTGGTTAAAGTTAATTTTACTAAATATGCGGTAATGAGAACCATAATTTTAAAAATCGGGATTTAAGGTAAACCATTACAATATGAACAGAACCAAGTGAATGGTTTAAATATCGTTTGTTCTGATTTTTATTGTCAGAATTATGCTTCGGAACTTTCATTATCATACCGTACAGTAGTTTTAATAGGACTTTTTCTTCGTGTAGTTAAACAAATTTATTTTGCTTAAAAAGCAGCCATTTAAAATAACATTATACCCATTAACACAATATGACATAAAATTAGATACAGCAAATATGTTAATATGAGTTTACCTTCCCTTATATTAACATAGTAAAAAAGTTAGATTTATATTTTTTTATATCAAGCAGAGAAGATATGCAAGTAAATTATTTGTGTACTGTTTAATTTCTCCAATCAAATTAAATAGCACCATATTACTTGGAAGCATATTTAAAGAGCATTAATTTAGGAATTAAAAAAATACCATTTACATCAGAAAAGCCTTCTACTGTGAAACAGAAGAATTTCCATTTCGGTTCAAATGCCAAATTTCTGACATTTCTTACTTTTCGTTTTTATCTTTTCTTCAACATCCCAGATTTAATTTTCATACATTTTCTCACTCTAAGCTAAAAGTAAACTTTACTGCAGCAAATTTTAATTACATGCAGCCATACAGACATGATAGGTGAAAAGAAACCCCATATTGCAAATTAAGCATTCGGAGCAAGGAATTAAAATGAGATTAAATTTTTCTTACACTTCATTTAAACTCGTGTCATTGCTTACAGCATTAAAACTGGTGGACCTTTTTAAAATGTTTGGAATGACAGTTGCACGGAAAGAATTTTATTTCTTTTGAAGTGATATATTTTACCCATGTCTTAGTTAGCATAAAGTATTTCCTTTTTAGAAGTCAGGAATTTCTAGAAGTTAAGGTTTTCGCTATTCGAGTAGACATAAGATAAAACTGTTATTATTTTTAATTAAAATGGTATTTCAGTTTAAAGCTAAGAGATTAAAATTAATCTTTTTTTGCTTCTATATAAAGGGTGCATAATACATTATGAAATAAAAATTTAGTTAAATATAAATTTATTTTGTTTGAAATATTTACCATATAAGCTATTGCAAAGATTGTCCTGATTAAAAAATTTAAGTTGTATATATATTATATATNATATTAATATATATATATATATATATATAAGATTTTTAGCTTAAGAAGTTTAATAAGCATATAAAAAAATTTTACAACAATAATATTTGGATTAAGATTAAAAGTAAAACAAACAGATGGTTATTAAATTTTTATTGGCTGAAAAAACCATGCACTTTTTCTATTAAATGCAAAGATAGTTTTTCAGTCAGTGTTAATAACTTGGATTTTCTGTTTTATTAAAACTAGGAGTTGAAAAAAATATTGCATGTTTAGTATGTAGAATAGCATTCAAATATTTTTTACAGAAAATATTGGTTATAAATTTAAAATTAGGATGACTATTCGTATCTTATATATTATTAAATAAGACATCTTATATATTATTAAATAAGTTAAAAATTTACTCAAAAACAATTAATTTATCTTAGCATTCCTTCCAGAAAATTAAAAACAAGACAAACGGAACCACTTAGTATTTTCTTAAAAATTTTCAAATAGTAATTGATGTCACATAACATCATTGTGGCATTATATTCAAAGAAATATTTGAGTTTAATATCAAATATTATTCATAAAACAAAATGAAAGTTAGAACAAAAAAATGAAATTTATACTTTTTCCACTAAAGGCAAGGATAGTTCCTCTTTAACTTCAAAATTATAAATATTTATATCTAATACACTGCTGTAAACTCCTTCAAAAAAAAGGGTTGAATAACAACTTAGTTAATCGTTATTTACAATATTCAAATAAAACAGATCCCGCAGTGGACCGATCCTTAAGACACGGTTCCCAACAGATCACCAAAGTCAAGCATCACAGGCTGCGGTCAGTGTGTCGGTGGGTGACCACTTATATTAGTCTGTGTAGGGACCGAGGGTATACGGTATTGGTCCTCGTTAAACTGTTCTACCGTAAAGTGCTCGACTTCGCGTGCAGGTCAACGAGCTACCAAAGCGGGGGTCCCATCCCCTCTACAGAGGATCAAAATTGTGATGGCATGTCTTCGGATCATCCTCAGGGATGTTTCCCAGACCGTCGCCAATAGCCCATTGTGCAGTTCTAGTGCAACGTGAATGAACTACAACAACAACGAATAAAATAGTCAAATAACCATAAATAAGATGGCAATAAATTTGTAAACTGTTAGAAAAAACTTTATTACTGCATTCACCTAATACGGTTAAAGAATCAGAATTTTATCGCACTAACTAAGCCCACTTAATGATGAGAGCTAATTCCTTACAGCTACCTTACATATATTATAGCCGTAAAGGCTAATCTGTCATTCTCATAATAAGCCACATAATAAGCCAGTGAATATGTCGACAAAATGGAGGTTTGAGTCCCATCATTGACGTCACAATATTTCCTCCATTTCAACATGAAGAATTTCCAGCGTCCTGCACTCCCCAATTAGTATCCTCCAATGCTAATTACCTAACGAAAAGCCTAGCTCCAAATGTCCTGTTAAATTTTTCTTAATGTTTTGAGACTATGCTAGTTGTAAATGATTAAAAAACCGTATAGTTTTGTATTCATAGCTTTACTACCATACTAGTTGTCAGCGGTTTCAAAACCACATAAAGTAAATAATGCTCTTTACCCTAAACCTTATGGTTAATTGGATAGACAGACTGTTGTCAGTTATTTTACCATAATTTTTCAATGAAATTTTTAACAATGCCCGAAACCAGACCATGCTATATATTAGTGAATATGCAAAACATTTACTTAAATAAAATGAATTTATCTCAGTTTTCCCTTTAGAAAATTAAAAAATAACGGGACCACTTACGTTGTTTTCTTTGAAATATTCAAATAATAACCAATGCCATTGTGGAATTGTATTCAAAGCAACATTTGATTTTAATGCCAAATATTATTTTCAAAAAGACTGAAAAGTTAGAACTAAAAAAATGTTAGAAATATTGAACCTTTTATTGTTATATCTTCTATAGATAGTAGTTGAAAGCCACTCAGTTCCTTCAAAAGGCACTCAAGCCCAATAAAAGTGAAGCTTACATTGAAGAGAAAAGTATGTTCTAAACTGCAAGAATATAATAAAATTTACCGTCTTTCTATCTCTAATGGAAACACTAAAAAGGTCGCTATTATTTTACCGAAGCGCTTCTGTAATAATTTGGGCAAAATTAGTAATGAAAAATTATAAAAATAATAAAAATAATAACACATTATAAAATATAATTTTATATAATGTGTGATAAAATTTGGTAATTTTATCATGATAACTTAGAGCATGGCATAAAAACCTTATTTCGTCTAAAATTACTTCTCAGTTTTTGTAATTTTTACTACATGTGTGTTAATAAAAACTCTAATTTTAAAACTCAAAGTATCTGATAAACCGTTAACATCTGAAAACTTCCACATTACTAATTTAAATGCCGTATATTTTGGTTAGGTTAACCAGAATCACGGATTTTTTTACGAGAAAAGTCACTACCATAGAGTACGGTAATTTTACCAGAATTTATTTTCTCCGTGTACTTGTGGAGTATTATGCAAAGTTCTTATTCCAAAACATAGTTTAAGGCGTAAGGACATACGAGCAACAATTTGTGATTGACTAAGAGCTGAAATTGATCAAAAAGGGTACATTCTACGAGAACACGAAGCGCTTTACCAATGATTTTGCTAAAATTAACAATAAAATGAGTTTTTTTTTTAGTGTTTGATAAAATTTGGTAAATGTGGTAAAATTTCATGACGTCAGAAGTATAATCAGAAGTATAATTTTGAAAACCAGAATTTCCGGTAAACCGTATCTATATAAAAGTAAAAATTACCAAATGAATATTTAAAAACCCTATATTTAATTTTTTTTTACCAGAAATGTTACCAGATACAGAACGGTAATTTATCGGAACTTCCTTTTCGGTGCATAGAGTGCATGGAAAGGGTTTTATTTTATTCAACGAAATCTTAAGACTATAAACGTATCTTTTTATTGCTTATAAAACTAATCTTAACTATCCATCATATTTATTATACCCAGAAGTATTGTTAAATGACCATAAATTTCTTCAAAATTATTATCTTTTGAAAACAACGCTTACTATACTTCGCAATTTTATCAAGTTATTTATGTTACTGTTGGTCTGAATGATATTTCGAAAATAGCATTATATACTCTAAAATAGTCTAAACTAAGATTTCGAAATGAAATAGAGAATATGTCTTTGCTGTGTCTAGTTTGAAAAATGTTTCGCATAGCATAAGACATGGAATAATCAAAATCAACAATCGCTTCTGAAAGCAATAATTTATTATAAAATTTATTGTCAAATTTATTGTATCCTTTTATTATTATCAGAAATTCATCTCATTTATCAAGGTATTTATAATATTATTATAGTTATTTATAAGTCATTAATTTTAAATAATAATAACATGGAAGCATTAGTTTAGTATAATGAACACATTAAAAAGTTAGTTTAAAATAATAGTTCTATTATATTCTTTAACATTAATAGATTTGCTTTACAAGAAATATTTGCTTTGCAGAAAGTGAAAAAAAAGTATTTCCTGTATTAGACAGAACGAACTATACACGAAACAATATTTTATCACATTATCGAGGGCAACCTTATACTATAATTATGAATTTTGAAAAAAAAACATTATTGAATTTGCATTTTGTTTAAGAGGAAAACTTTTGTTAAGACGTTAGAACTGGATAAAGAATTAGCATTTTTTTTTTGTTCATAAACAAAATTAGTGTATGTATGTTAGGCGAATAAACTTAATTTATACGCTAGAAAATTTAAGCAGGAAATTTTTTTTTCAAGCAAAATATTCATATTACAGCACTACCTTATATTTTAAAATAATTTTAGAAATAATTTTTTACTCATTTATACATTATAATATTAATTATAATTTTTATAATAACTCATTATACATTATAATATTAACAACACGCAAAAAAAAATAATAATAAACGGACAGTCCTCAATAACTTTTGATCAAATGATCGGATCTTCGCGTTTTAGGACTCAATCTTAATGGTTCAAAAGGGTGACTTCAAATATGTTAACTAATTAGTGCTGTACCGGGATAGCCTGGTTGTTAGGGCACTGTGACCTTGTCCAACAGGACGTGGGTTCGATCCCTGCCGGGCGAAGACTCCCCGCGTAGTAAATGGTGACGGATTCACGTGAAATCTGTCGGGTCACTAAGTCCTCCATGTCCAAAAAATCATACCTTTGGGGGTACTGATCCAGTAGTTTCCTTGTCTTCTGAATTGGGTTAAAAATTGCAAGGCTACGGAGTTGAACATTAGAAGTCGTAAACCCAAAATTGGGTCGGCTGCTCAGCGACGGTTATATAAAAAAACAAATTAGTGCTGAGGATATTTTAAGTTACAAAATCAAGCACAAAAACGTACATTATCTGAATAAACATAACTTCCTTTCGAGACGGACTCGGAATTCTGACCTCCAAAATATAGGGGGTAGCCTGAATCTGAGAAATACGGTCCCCCCCCACACACACAAAAAAGAAATATTTGTACCCCTTAATGCTAATTTTACTTTTTGCTTTATTTCACCGTATGTCGAAAAAATTTTAAGGGAATTGAAACATTTTGCTCACAATTATAAATTTCGCTTAGCCACAGATAATTCCATGCAAAAAATAAATTTTAGTGAGTATTAATTATTTTTCCTTATTTTATTTTCTACTTGTTGAAAGAATTTTGAATAGTAACGTAGACAGTTTTTATATCATTTCGCAGAATGTAATTTTAAATTACAAAATGCAAAATTTGAGCAAAATCGGTCAAATAGTTTCTGAGAAATCACATTCTGCAAAAGTCGTATTTCAGTACGCAAAGAGCAAAATTAACATTCAGAGATCCAAGCATTGGACACTCTCCTGAGCAAACTATATTAACCATATTTCCCAGATTACGGCTACCCTCTATATTTGGATAACAGAAATCCGAATCCATCAAAAAAGGTATATTTATTCAGTGAAAGTACGTTTTTGTGTCTGATTTCGTAGCTTAAAATATCGTCTGCACTAATTAATTAGTAAATTTGAAATCACCCCTTCGAGCCATTAGGATTGAGAAATAGAAGGTGAAGATCCGACCATTAGATCAAAAGTTTTTAAGAGTGGTCCATTTTATATTTTGAGCACAGTACATAATAAAAAAGATCGTATAAAACCAACGCATTTAATACTGATAAATCAAACCTGATTTAAAAATCATAGAATACTTAACTCAAATAATTTACCCGAAAAATTGAAATAATTTTATTATAAAGTATTAATTCCTTGAAACACAGCTTCTCTTTGGTTTCTAAGAATATTTAAAAGATTGACTTATTTCACCCTCCAAATAAAACGGTCTGTACATCCTAAACAAATTACGTTTTCGCTGGAAATAAACTTGTTTAAAATAAAGCTTCATTATGTCTAGTTTAATAATATGAAGTCAGTCTTTTAATATGAAGTCTAGCCAGTTTTATGTGTAAAGCCTTATCAAAAGCACATAATCACGTAAATAATTTAACTATAATAGCAAATATACCTTATCTCCCTGTATAGCGTAATGCATTTTCGAAAATTTTTGTAATTACAATTTGGCAAGTCTTCACTAACGAAGCCTAAAAAGTTAGTTATTTGCTATTTTATAGTAATTTGCAGTATATATATATATATATATATAGAGAGAGAGAGAGAGAGAGAGAGAAAGAGAGAGNAAATAATATTGGAGCCATTAAAAAAAGACTTATGGAACACGATAGATGTGTCCACTACCAAGAATTCTAAAACTCATCAATCACTGCGCATTGTTGAAATCTTGGCCTTAAATTCAATTTCGACCATGCCAAAATTATTTCCATGACCACACTATTTCATCCTCCTACCCTGTAATCTTGCTCTATTCATATGAATGCTGATTCCCATTGTTAACGGTATTAATTGATCACCACCTCTCCACAGTGCTTGGAAATGCATTTTATCCTAATTTGCCCCTCTCGTCTACTGGGATTTTTTCTTGTTTCGTTTTTCATCTTTTTTTTTCTCTCTGTTATTGCGGTTCTTCTAGTTTTATTTCTCACATTTTTTTCCCCCAATTTTCGTTGGCAATTTTACGCTTTGTATTTCAAATCACCTTTGTCACTCATTCTCGTCTGACAAGTCTTGAAAATAGGTGTCTGTTTTTGAGCATTTGAAACATGTCGACTGTCATTTTTAATTTATATGCTTTTGAAGCCAATGAAGATTTTAATCAGGTGACATTTGAAACAGTTTATTTTGCATTAAGCTGGGGGATATATTCATACATGAATGTATATATATATATATATATATATATATATATATATACATTCATGTATGAATATATCCCCCAGCTTAATGCAAAATAAACTGTTTCAAATGTCACCTGATTAAAATCTTCATTGGCTTCAAAAGCATATAAATTAAAAATGACAGTCGACATGTTTCAAATGCTCAAAAACAGACACCTATTTTCAAGACTTGTCAGACGAGAATGAGTGACAAAGGTGATTTGAAATACAAAGCGTAAAATTGCCAACGAAAATTGGGGGAAAAAAATGTGAGAAATAAAACTAGAAGAACCGCAATAACAGAGAGAAAAAAAAAGATGAAAAACGAAACAAGAAAAAATCCCAGTAGACGAGAGGGGCAAATTAGGATAAAATGCATTTCCAAGCACTGTGGAGAGGTGGTGATCAATTAATACCGTTAACAATGGGAATCAGCATTCATATGAATAGAGCAAGATTACAGGGTAGGAGGATGAAATAGTGTGGTCATGGAAATAATTTTGGCATGGTCGAAATTGAATTTAAGGCCAAGATTTCAACAATGCGCAGTGATTGATGAGTTTTAGAATTCTTGGTAGTGGACACATCTATCGTGTTCCATAAGTCTTTTTTTAATGGCTCCAATATTATTTGCTTTATTACAACCAATTAAATATGCCATAATTATTCAGTAAAATTAAATTTTTTCTACTTCTTTTAATGCAAAAAATACTCACTCAAGGAAAAATACTCAAGGGATACAAATAACCATAATATGCATCAAATCTTTTGAGTTGTAATTTTATAATTTTTTAAATGATTATTATTAACAATATATAGCTTTATATAATCACTTTAAGTTAAATATAACAAAATTATAAGCAACAATAGTCATTTTTAAATTTAAGCATTAAATATCTCTTGAACTTAATACTTAATTTCGATAATCAATCTTAGTTTAAGGGCTAACTACATAGATTAGTAGTAGAATTTATTAATTTCTAATAATAGGACATCCTAAAGTGCTTAAGAGCACAATAATTATCTTCTCACACCCAGCTGCTTAATGACTCTTCTTCAAGATAATTTATCTTTTATCATATTAATACAAAGAATTTAGGATTAAAATAGAAAAAAAAGTTTTTGTCATTAATTTTTTTATTTTTTTTATTGATGAGTTAAAAAATTAACGCTTGATATTAAAATTATGTAACCTCATGTTGAATTTATATTTTTAGTATTTTAATTACTGTTGCATATACTTAGTTTTGAAAAATAAATAATACATTTTTATCAATCTTCAGAAATAAAAAAATACTCCTTTTTTTTCTTAAAAAAATAACTAGTAGAGGGAAGTGAAGTTTGAATGGAAGCTGAAGCTTAACTATTTGACTTAGAAACTGTTGGCTTTAATTAAGATATTCATTGTTTAGTTATGCCCAATAAATCATTCCTGAAAAGTAATGCATGTTCTACTTTTTTTACATTTTTTTTCCAGAAAAAGTCAAATCAATCGCTCTTACCCCATTAGCGGGGAAAGACCGAGGATTATGTATGGGAATTCTCTATGAAAATTAGCTCTGAAACTAACTCTATTGGAAATTTAGAAAAACTGAAATTTCAGTGAAAAAGTAGCAGGCATTTCTATTTTATAGAAAAATTCAAGTATATATTTTTCAGTATATATAGTGCAATTAATTATTTTATGTGACAATGTAATTTATATGTGATGTAATCAAGGCCGTAAAGAAAGAAGGAGAGAGGGATAATTATCCCAGGACTTGAGAGTGCTGAGAACCCGGTCAAAATTTCTTAGTACTTATAATATAGTACTTATTAATTACTTTTTTCTAAAACAAAATAGCTGAGAATTCCTTTAAATATAGATGATAATTACAAGCTTGTATAATGGGTCTTCAAAAATTTTATGAGTTAAGAAATAAAGGCTTTTTGTACTTTGAGGAAGAAGCCCACTGCGAATTTTGTCCTGAAGACCGTAAAACTATTGTTCAGCCTTAAATGTTGTCTTCTTCCGCTGCGCTGCAACTTTCGTAGGGCCAGCATACACTGATATCAGGGGAGTAGAGGCAAAACAGTGTAGTACCAGGTTTTTTCCCAAGAGCAAATATTATGGAAACGTAACAGAAAAATTTTGTTATTACATTAAATCCTAATTATTTGTTAATGTATGATTTTTGTAATATACTGGGGTAAAAATAATTTTTATATTTGTAATGACCATTAAATAAAGCTAATTTAAAAACAACAGAATATTAAAAAGTTTATATAGTAAAAAAGAAAACTTATATACACAGACGCGGTGAATTAATCAGCAACAACTCGGCAATATGGTAGTTTCTTCTTCTTGACTAGTAAAGTGTAATTCAGAATTTGCTTACTGAAAACATAACGAATTTCGGCATAAATGAGGTACTCGGTTACGTCCCACTAACCGGTCTTATCCAACTCTTCCTGACTTAAGAAAGGATAAAATGATTTAGAATCTGGCAGTAAACAGAATTAATCATTATTTGTTTAATAATATTTGTAACAACAAAAACAGAAGGAATTTTGGCACAATTGTGGTGCTCGGTTACGTCCCACTAACCGGTCCTATCCTATTTTTCCTGACGTAGGAATGGATTAAATGATTCATAATCTGACCGTAATCAAAATTAATCATTATTTGCTTAATAATATTTGTAACAACAAAAACAGAAGGAATTTTGGCACAATTGAATTACGTCTCACTAACCAGTCTTATCCTAACTCCCTGACGTAAGAAAGGATTAAATGATTCAAAATCTGACAGTAAACAGAATTAATCATTATTTGTTTAATAATATTTGTAACAACAAAAACTGATTAATCATTAATGTAAATAATACTTTAATCAAATTTGTATTTTGTTTCTTTTTGCAGCATGTAAGGAATCTTACAAAATGTTTTGAAGAGCCACACGTAGCTTGGAGGTACCACAGATAAGTATATATGAATTTTCATCAAGATGTGAGTACATATTTAAGACTTGGTTTCAAGAAATCGTTCATAAAACGAAAAAACTTCAAAATAAATCAAATTAATTCAAAATCAATAAGAAATAAGCTGTTTATGACTTATTAAACTGTCAAAAAGACAGTTATAAAATAAGTATTTACTCAACAAATGTGTACATTCCGCAAGTTCTTTTTTTTTAAAGTTAAAAATAGCGTGTTTGCTCAACATCAAACATCAGAAATTAGTAATAACTATTGTGTTTACTTACATTTAAAAAAGTATAAAAACTATCACGAAGAAAAATATTACTTTGACTAAGAAGAAAATCATATCTCACGAGGTTATACAGGTTTGAAAGTGTAAAAATTTAATTTAATTTATTGTTCATTTACGTTAAGCTTTTGTTCAGTTGCTACTATTAATGGAAAAAATGTGATTTCGGGTGGATCTTTCAATGCAACGAAAGGGAAAAACAGAAAGACAAGAAAAGAGTTTTTTAAAATTCTCCATACAGGAGAAGGTGTTTTAAGTTATGCTAAAAATGAAAATTTAACCATTGATCATACTCAGCTTGCCTTTAAAAATGAAATTATGATCAAGACAATCTTATTACTGAACCAAATAACAAAATTGACTTTTATAACAGTTAATATCATTATTGATATTTTAATTGCAAAACGTTCATAAGCACTATATAACTTCAAACAAACGCTTATTATTATTTTTAAAAATGATGGCTTTCCATTTATTATTTAAACTAAGTTAAATGAAAAGTATATTTTTGTATCATATCTCAAGTATGAATTTTTAAAATCAAATGTATCCGATATTTCATAAATATCTCGAAAAATCAGCATTTCTAAATAACACTAGCTTATCTGTGAATCTTTCTGTATTATATCTCAAGTACAAATTTTCTAAAGTAATTGTATCTTTTATTTCATAAATACCCTGTAAAAATACCATTTCTGAATAACACTAGCTTATCTGTAAATCTTTCCGTAATCATGTCTCAAGGATAAATTTTCAAAATCAATTGTATCCGATACGTCACAAATACTCAGTAAAATTAGCATTTCTGAATTATTCTGAGTTTATAAGCAAATCTTTTTGTATCATATCTCAAGTATGAATTTTTAAAATGAAATGTATCTGATATTTCATAAATATCTTGTAAAATCAGCATTTCCGAATAACGTTAGATAACATTATTGGTATTGCGTCAAAATTAAGTGATAAGTGACCTAACTGTGAGCTTATTACTATGGAACTTTAGACCTACCTATTTCTTTGTTATATCGGACGCGCTTTTGAATGGTCAATATTCCCAGGAACGATGATTGATGAGGAGTTGGGCGAAAAATGACTCGAACAGAATATTAAAGCACTGGCCTCGACAAAGTTGCTCTATCATACATTTTGCCAATCCTTCTGAAACTCAGCTGCTGTTTGAATCAATTTAAAAGATAAATTATTGCGAAGTCCGTCTTCACGTTTCAAAGTCACTCATCAATTTTGATGCCATTATGAAATGCAGGGACCAATGTTGAATATATTACAATTTTGCAGACTAAATTTTATCTCATGCTTGCTTATGCTCACTTGGCTAAAGTAATTGAAAAAATACTACATTTTTTTACTACATATATACTTAGATACAACATACATACAAGATATATATATATATA